TTTAAAATTGTTTTCTCGTGATTTCACTAAAACGTTCTACCTTTTAAAAATAACGTGGTATGCTCATCTGCCATGAGATGATGTGGGTGCGGGGTGATGCCCTCTCCCCACCTGTGGCAGTTGGGAGAACTGGCCCCAGGGTCATGGGTAAGCTGGCCCTGCCACTCATTGGCTGCAGCACTCAGGAGCATGGGCCCTGCACCTCACCTGGGCAGTTTAGTGGAGCTGGCCCTGAAGACATAGGGTCACCAGCCCCGCTGTGAGAGCAGGAGAGCTAGCCCAGCCCCTCACAGGCTGCAGCACTTGGGAGAGCAGGCCCTGCACCTTGCCTGGCCCTGGTGGATGGGCTGCAGGTGAGTTAGCCCCGACGGGTCCCCTTGCCCCTGGTCACCTGAGGCAGATGGGACAGCTGACCCCGGGGTCATGAGAGTAAGCTGCTTCTGCACCTCACCTGGGCACCATGGTAGAGCTGGCCCTGGTGGTGGGGGCTGCAGATGAGCCACCCTCAAAAGATGAGAACACAGGAGAGCCCACTCACCTGGCATGAGGTGGCATGGGTATGGGGTGATGTCTTCCTCCTCTTGCCACCTGCAATAGCCAGGAGAGCTAGCCCTGCCCCCTCACTGGCTATAACACTTGGGAGAGCAGGCTTTGCACCTCACCTGGACAATACAGTGGAGTTGGCCCTGGTGGTGAAAGGCATAGGTGAACCAGCCTCAGGAATGTGAGAGGGGAAGTGCAGAGCCAGCCCCTCACAGGCTGCAGCTTTGGGAGCATAGACCCCGAACCATTACTGGGCAGCACAGTGGAGCTGGCTCTGGAGGAGTGGGTGTGGATGAGACAGTCTCAAGGGCATGAGAGCAGACCCCGTCTTCTGCAGGCCACCTTCATTGAGTGGTCTAGCTGGAGCGGTGCTGGAGAGCTCGTCCTGGTGGTGCTGATCAGCTCAGCGACTACCCAGGCCCAGATCCAGGGCTCTGAACTGGTCCACCCCATAATCGATACCATCTGCAAATGCTCGGGATGCATGAAAGGGCCAGACCTGCTGTGCCAAAGTTGCAGGATCTCCATGACACAACAATGGGATAATTGGGAGGAGGCCCTGATGATCCAATATTGATTGTGTCACAGAAGCCAGAAATCCCAAACAAACCAGTAACTCATTGCAGTGAGCATTTGCAAGTGAAGATGTGTGGACAGGAATATGCTGCGTGGGATTCACTGTGACATAATAACAACTTGGTGTTGTGTTTGTTTGGATGTGTGTGTATTTTATTTTGGGCATGGAGGAGGTTGTCAGGGTGAAGAGTGGATATGAGGGCATGGGGAGATAAGCAGGACTGGGGTGCATGATTTGAAACTCAGAAAAAGTTCAGAAAAATTACATTTGATAACTTCTCTCACAGGGAAAAGAATAATTATGTTCTTTGTAAACTTGATTCTTTTGATCTATAAGTTTTAGTGTTTGTTTAGAGGCAGGGGCTCACTCTCTAGGCCAGGCTTCTCAGCTGCCCCCTTCTCAGCTTTCGTGTGTTGGGATTAAGGTATATGCCAAAAGACCTAACAGAAATGTCAAATTTTTATGCTAGTTTTTTTCTCAGTGTAATTACAAAATATTTCAACAAATTACTTACCTAATGTTTTATTGATGTTCTATCGCTATACTGATTTATCTTTACATCTGATTTTGCTGGCAAACCAAAAATTCAGCATGATCGGTGCTTTGTTTTTATTTTACATCTTTTATGGTTAGTCTATGTGCAGCTGTTCATGTGTGCACATGCACAGGGTCCGGAGAACATCTCAGGCACTGTTCACATTGTTTTAAGGCAGGGTCTCTCTGGAGAAGTGGGGTAGGCCACCTGGGCAGCCGGCCCCAGAGATCCAACTGTGGGTTCTGGGATCAAACTTAGGTCCTTGCAAGGCAAACACTTTATCAACCGTGTCGTTTCCCAGCCCGGAGTTTTGCTTTTTAAATAAAGATGAACACTTGGATTTGCTTATCACTAGCCTGGTTGTGATAGGGTGTGTGTACATCCTAGTATGAGCCTGTGCTCCCGCCCTGGCTCCATCCTGCTGGTCCACTGGACTCCCCCAGTCTCCTGTTCTTTACCGGTCAAATGGCTACCCTGAACATCAGTAACTCAGTATTCCCTCACTCCATTCAGCCTGCCTCAGCACCTCCCCAGTAGCCAGTAAGATTCTTCACAGAGTATATGGCATGTGGAGACACATGCTGAAAATGATTGAACCAAATAAAAGACAAGAGTGTCCTGCAATGCCTGCTGGTGCCCAGGGGCGGGTCCACATGCAGTTTGGGAACCTCGGGGGCCTTAGTTATGATACTTCGATTGCCAGATACAAAACCCAAGTGAGAAAGAGTGGAGGAATACTATTTCAGGGTCACGGCAACACATCGGCACTCCTGTCTCCCGTGTGCATTGTCCACAGTGTGCATTCAGGATCCCTCTCACCCTGGGTCACACATGGACAGACCGCCACAGTTCCAGATTCTCCAGTTGAGCCCATCCTGGTCAGATAAACTCTAGCTAAGGGGAGTGTTGTCTTAGAGTCTAAGCTTGGTTGCATGTCATCGCTGGGTACCCCCTAAAAAAGGTGAACTTTAAGAACACCTGAAAGATGGAGCAGGCATCAGAAGTTCCTGTGCAGTCCTGGAATCCTGAGATTGCTTTGCTACCCATCTGCCTTACCATGTGTTCCTTGGTGGACTTAGCTATGCTGCAGGAGAATCCTGATTCCCAGGCACTCAGCTCTCACTTGTATTTCTTCCCTGGAAGGGCAGAGGGCGCCAAAGACACACGCTGCTACTGGTTTGCCTAGGACCAAGGAACTGTTTACTCTGGCTCAGGGTCAGCTAGTACGTACTGAGCTGTCTCTGTGTCAGATCAAATGCACATGATCACCAGAGGAACTAAAAGAAGTTTCAAAGTGATGAAAAATGGTTATGCTAACATAGCCTGGGAGAGAATTCCTCCCACCCTAGCCTAAAGGTAGTTGACAGAAAGGATGCACAGAGGCAACAGCATAGCAGTTAGACAAGCAAAGGAAAAAGGAGGGGGAGAAAGGACAGCTCTGTTTCGCAACCTGTCTGTGGGTAGAATTTTTCACATGGCTGGGAGGGACAGATTGCCAGGAGCTGGTATCCTCTTGGAATTACTCAAAAGCTGGGCCTACCTGGGATGTCAGCACAAGCATGAAATAGCTTGGGTGACCTTTCAACCAGGAGCAGGGGCTAGTTGAACATCTCAGCCTTTATGAGTCTGTTCATCTCCAGACAGCAAGCCCGTGAATGTGCCTGAGTGTGAATGGATCTCATTTTGTCTGGCAAATTTGGCACAGAGCTTGACACCTAACAAGCATTCAGAAATGGATGGATGGGTGGGTGGGTGGATGGATGGATGCATGGATGGATGATAAATGATGAAGATGGTTGACATCTGAGGGCTGCAGTTTTCCCAAAGATGTAAAAGATGAGGCCTTTTCCTGGCAATTAGATTCAAACTGAGGAGAGGGGAAGATGTAGGTAGTTGCCTTTGGGGAGGCACGAGTCAAAGGGTGCTGCCATCGTCCACATGATCACAGGACTTGTTGCATCAGACTGTTGGGGTGACCCGGTGACAGTCCAGCGTAAGGACTCAGGGTATGGGCTGCATCCCAAATACAGGCATAGATTCTGGCAGACCTTGAAGTTGTTTAACTTAACTAGGAGAGCTTCATAAGCAGCGGGGTTCAGGAGAATCGAGGATTAACCAGAAGTCAGGTTCATGGGCAGAGATGAGTTATGTAAGGGGAAGGCCATGTCCTGAATGTGGGATACTGGAACCGAAGGTAACATCTGTCGCTATCAAACTGTGATGTCGCCAAATTACAGGGCACGTCGGGATGTGGGCGTCAATTAGACTCTGATGGTGAGATACTGGATGTGGATACGGGTGTTTGCGGAGGAACTGTGTCTCCAATCCAAAGAACTGAAACAGACCGGGATTTCTGCTGAAATGATCAAATTCCTCTGAACAGACATACTAGTGAAGTGCACACATTTCTTTTCTTATGCTATCAACATTCCTTAACCCAGGTGGGAAAGAATTAGGTGGGGAGGGTGCTGGAGGAGGGAGACAGTTAACGGCAGGGAAGAAGCGTAGTTGAACTAGGGCTATCCAGGGGGCAAAGATAAGGAAAATTCACAAAACAGCTGTGGGCCATGTGGAGTGTTAAAGCCGGGGAGAGTGACCCCAAACACTTCTGTATGTTCCCATCCAGCAGGCACTGAGTTAAGGGTTGACACACACGAATTCACTTTGTCCTTCCAGCCGCCCATTAGGATGGGCACTAGCATCGTCTCCACTTTATTGGTGAGAAAGCTGACGCCCAAAGAACTGGAGTGACTACAAATCACAGAACCAGAGTGGAAATCACAGCAGTAAACGATTTGCCTTTGGATTAGGAAACAAGCTGGTCATTCCCTCACCCCAGGACACGAAGCTGTGGACCACTTTAGGCTCGGTGATTCATGTGTCTAGTCACGATATTTAGTTGTGAAAATTGTCTCTGGCCTTCTCTCCTTGTGGAGCAATGGCTTCAGAAGCACAAGGCAGCGACAGGGAGGCGTTGCTCAACACGTGTTTGTGGAATAAATAAATGAATGAGGATTGCCACACTCCTGGGTGTCACAACTGACCGAGGGGATGCATTTTCCCAATTCCCCTAAAGAGGGGAACATGGTTTCTCTCTCCAGACAGAAAAGGAGAGAACTGGGGACCCTGGTCAGGAGGGGTGCCGGCAGGGCCTCAGACTTCCAGGGCAAGACACCACCGGCCTTCCTACCTACAGAGCTGCCCTGAAAGTGAGCTCTCCCAACCCGTATCCCTCTCTCGCCAAAGGAACACCAGAGGCTGCGATAAATATTTGTTCAAAGTGTGAATGAGTAAAGGCGAGGGAAGGGGTGTGTTTTGAAAGTCCATTCTCGGTCTCCCTGCCAGCCACACCCCAGCAGGCACTCCCCTCCCTGGTAGGTGACAGATAAAGGCTCTCCCCATCAGGGACTGCAGGGAAGGAGCCAGCCCCCTGGTTGCAGTGGCCTGTTGCTCAGAAGGGCTGTTGTAGCTGTGCCATGCCTAGGTACACGGTACACGTGCGTGGGGAATGGCTGGCCGTGCCCTGCCTGGACGGGAAGCTCACTGTGGGCTGGCTCGGCCGCGAGGCGGTGCGGCGCTACATGAAGAATAAACCGGACAATGGGGGCTTCACTTCGGTGGATGAAGTGCATTTCCTTGTGCGCCGTTGCAAGGGCCTGGGCCTGCTGGACAACGAGGACCTGCTGGATGTAGCACTGGAGGACAATGAGTTCGTGGAAGTGGGTGAGTGGTGCTCAGGGGAATGGGATGAACTGCTGTGGCATGGCCTGGAGGAAGGCACCCCACCCCACCCCCGTGTCAGGGAAAATGAGAAAAATAGTACTTGCCCCGGGGGAGCCTCAAGCTAAGCTTTACCATCCACCTTTCCCCCAGCCTGCATAGACGTAGCGAGGCAGGTCTTAAGCGACAGAGTCTGGACTTGAACCCAAGGCAAGATCCTTGCAATTATAGAATCCTCCTGTGACTGCCAGAGTGGGGATGGAAGCGGGCTAGAACTGATCGCTTTCCTGTATAAAGGCGCTAAAGACCATGGGAAAACGTAGGAAGTCACGATCCAGCAGCCATTTCCATGAAATGCAAGCTCATTGCGCGGAGGGGCCATTCCTGGGGCCACCCTGTGACCTGCAAGGCCCCTCTTTCCCCTTCTTGTTTCAGTCATTGAAGGCGATATAATGTCTCCCGACTTCATTCCCTCACAGCCAGAAGGCGTTTTCCTGTATCCTTTCCGCATCCTCTTTGGTCCGTGCTTGGGGGGGAGGGAGGGCTGGTCCTGACATGGTGGGCCTGGGGCTTTTCCATACTGCTAGTATGTTCCTTTACCTGGCTTCAGATACAGCAAATACAAGGAGCCTGAAAAGGTAAGCTAGAGCTACTTTTCTTTACGTGGGGAAAGTGAAGTCCTGTCATGTCTGGTGTAAGCCCCCTCCCCTTTAAAAAGGAGGAGGGTACACCTGAGTGAACACCACACTGAAGACAGCTTTCTTCCGTTCAGATTGGTTCTGCAGGGGGCCTGGCCTCTGCTTTTCTTGCCCAGGGCTCCTGTAAGCCAGCCATGTTCTTGATTAGCACACTAATGCCTCAGAATGATGATAATAAAATATCACTGGGGCCAGGCTGCCTGCCAGGCTACCCTTTACAGGCTCCTCCCACTCACTGAGATTCACTCCTTCTGTGTAGTACATCTCCTTGGATGGGGACAGTCTGAGCACCGAGGATTTGGTCAACCTGGGAAAGGGACTTTACAAGATAAAGGTATGCGGGGGAGGGAGGGAAGGACTTTCCCTTCCGTTTCCGCTGGACATGGACAGCTTTCACGTGTTTGCTCCAATGCTTTCCTAGCTGACGTCAATCGCCGAGAAGAAAGTACAGCAATCCAGGGAGGTCATAGACAGCATCATAAAAGAACAAACAGGTATCTTTACACCTCCCCCATGTCCTAACATTATTTTTACGGACAAACATAAGACTAAAACCCCTGTTGAGTCTAACCACTAGGGTGTCTGTTATTTTCTTTCAGTTGTTTACGGCATCACCACAGGTTTTGGGAAATTTGCCAGAACTGTAATCCCTGTCAATAAGCTACAGTAAGTCTCAGGTGCATGCCCACTTGCCCCAACCCTGAGATTTTGCTTCCATGAAGATCATTCACTTTTTTTTTTTTTTTTTTTTTTTTTTTTTAACCACAATGACATTTGTTGAGCCCTTGCTTCAGACCAGTGGTTCTCAGCCTTCCTAATGCTATGTTCCTTTAATACAGTTCCTCATGTTATGGCGACCCCCAGTCATAAAATTATTTTTGTTCCTAACTGTAATTTTGCTACTGTTAGGAATCGTAAATATCTGATAGGCAAGAGATCTGCGACATGAACGCCCTCCCCACAGGGGTCAAGATGCACGGGTTGAGAGCCGAGGCTTTAGACCTTGGGTAACAAACTCTCGCACGACCCTGGAAGACAGCCAAGTTTCTCGTGTGCTTTGGCGAACAGTGTGAGGCTTGCGTTGCTGGCTTGTACCCAACTCATCATGAGAGAACAGGACCCGCTGTTAGTTTTTACTGCGTGCGGCTGCCCACCTAAAGTCTGAGCTGTTGCTCCCTCCGTATTCCCAGCCGAGGTAGCATGTTCAGCCATGGTGTCTAAGAGGGTTCTCCTCTTTCTCTTCCAGGGAGCTTCAGGTCAACTTAGTTCGTTCTCATTCTTCAGGTAAATAGTTCCTAGCACTGACTGCCTCCTGAGCCATGTAAGATCATGTGATTGACTAGCATGGTGTGAGGTCTGGGCCACCAGCCATATCAGCTGCTGTGTCCCAAATGTATTCTAAGGGCTGGGTGCTGGGGCCCCAGGAGGCGGCATCAGACCAATCTTCTCTGGCCACTTAGAAGACAGAATGGGCCTGGTGGAAGGATGGGGTTGAGGTAGAATTGCGTGTCCTGTCCTATGTAGAGAGTGGTGCCTTTGGGGAGGAAATGAAGGCTAGCACTGGGGCATGAGCTAAGTCGGATGAGCCCTGAGTCCATCACACTGAAGGACCTTGTGCTAAGACCACTCTGCAGTATTCTGAGGGTGTTTGGGAAGGAAGGAATGGAGGAGGGCTGGTCCTCTAGCTTGGTCTGGACAAGGCTTTGAGAAGCAGGATGGGCAACAGGGAGTACCATCCACCTAGCTTCAAAAAGCCAGGCAATACTGGCAAAGTAGAGAAAGACCTGAGAGGTGGGGCGGGGGGCAGGGAGCAGGAGGTGGAGAAGGATTTTTTTTTTCTCAAAGAAAATGACCATTCTGCTTTGTAGGTGTCGGGAAACCTCTCAGTCCTGAGAAGTGCCGGATGCTCTTGGCCTTGAGGATCAATGTCTTAGCCAAAGGATACAGCGGGATTTCCTTGGAGACCCTGAAACAAGTTATTGAAATCTTTAATGGTAAGTCAGTGAATCCTTAGCCTGGCCTTTCAGGGAAGTTGGCTACACCCCACAAGGTAGACTTAGATAACTAGAGGCTGAGAGTAAAAAGAAAATAATCAAGATGAATGCCAAACAGAACGGGTTTGGCAAGGAGAACCAGCTGGCAGCCTGGTGGCAAGAATGGCTGCTCTAGTTATTCCCGTAAAGGTCGGCTTGTCTTGTAGCTTCCCTGTAGCACCAGTATGCCTGTGAATTCAGGTCTACACAGAGCCTTCTATTCAGCGGTGCCCATACTCGGTCAGTGAAATTGCACCAAGTCATCCATGAACGTAATTCCTGGATGGTGTCCACCCCTAAGACAATGGTTCCAGTTGGTACATGGGAACCTGAACTCTTAATGCTCCCTGGATGACGGACAAGCTGCACTTGCACGTAGAAATCTAACTTTGTAAAAAGGTAGGTCAGAAATGTGAAAAGATTAATAATTGACCTAGTCAGGAAGCCTTTGTGGGATAGGACGTGATGCAACGAAACTCAGTCCTTAAAGGGAAGACTACATTTTTGCAAGGCTCAGGAGGCTGTCTCTCCACATAGCTGAGGATAGAACATCGGGTCCATGGCAATCCCAGGGCTCCTTGGGGGAAAGGAATGGGAAAGGAAACAAAGTCTCTCTCAATCATCCAGAAACAAGCAAGTGCTTGAGTTGCTATGCTGAGGGCACAGGGGACTTATAAATGTGACTTGGTGGCCGGTGAAGGACACAAAATGTAGGCTCAAGGGCTGTCTGCACAGATCCACCTCAAACCCGAGACAGTAGAACTCCCCCTTGAGCTCACCAGTGCTCTGATAGACAAGGATAAGGCACCTGTGGGTCCCCGATGCTCTGAAAATTTCTCCATAAGCTATAGTCTGGCAGCTGGCCATGGCTGGCACTGATGTTATTTAGCAACAGCTAGGGAAATGCAAACACTGCCATTGGGGCTTTTATTTTAGGAAACAGAAGCCTCCCCTTTTGGGGTAACTTTCTGGGGAATTTCTAAAAAACATAGAGGCTGCTTGTGCATAAATGGTGACAGTGTGTGGGGTGATTAACTGAGTGACTGGAGAGAGAGACAGAAAGAGAGAGAGTCCGTGTATTTTGCTTGTCAGTTTATTGCCCTTAAAGGACTTTGTTAATAATACTTTGGTGCACCACATCCTTCTAGAACAGTCCGTGGTTAATAAGATAAATACATGTTCTTAAGCATTCTCCAACAACTTTTAATAACTTTATATAATCTGACCACCTGGGTGTCCCTTAATTCTCTATTTTGGTGATTTCTAACTTTTGGGTCTTGTAAAGCAGGAGGCGATGATCAACAGCTGGTTTATAGTTGTGTTTCTGAGATGTTGCTGGAATCCTAGGAGTGGAGTCAGGACAGCCTGAGCACCGTGTCCATCCCTGGATGCCTGCCCTTGCCCAGACACCCACACACACATTTTCTCTCCTCCCTTATTTCTTTTAATCATTCCCTTCCTGCCTTCTGTCTTTTCTCCTCTCCACTCTCACTCCCTTCTTTCATAACAGCTTAGCTGGTATTTTGTTGTTGTTTGATTATTTTGTTTTTTGGATTTTTGAGACAGGGTTTCTCTGTGTAGCCCTGGCTATCCTGGAACTTGCCCTGTACACCAGGCTGGCCTTGAACTCAGAGGCATCTGAGTTCCCTGAATGCTGGGATTAAAGGAGTGTGTCACCAACACCCAGCTCAGCTGGTTCTCTTAGGCATTACTTGTGCCTGAGAATTTATCATTCTTGGATATTTACTCTACAAAATGACTCTACACTCCGTTGGCAACAAGGGATGACTTCACTGGCAATGCCAAGACAACCAAAATGGCATAAGCACACTTGGGGTAACTGATGCCTGCTTCTCTTGCAGCCTCCTGCCTATCCTATGTTCCAGAGAAAGGAACCGTTGGTGCCAGTGGAGACCTTGCTCCACTCTCTCATCTTGCTCTGGGACTCATTGGAGAAGGAAAGATGTGGTCCCCAAAGAGTGGCTGGGCTGATGCCAAATATGTAAGCCTCGCATAACAGCTTCATCCTCAGCGATCCTCCTCAGCTGGAGCCAGGAGGCCCTTGCACATGTTGCTATGACGTTTCATCTTTATGGCTACCCAGTCACAGATGAGTCAACTCACGCCTGGGAGTCAAACTAGGAGATGATGTTTACTGGCTTCCATGTCCACCTGCCAACATCCAAGATATATGTATCTAGGGAGTAAAGTACCATCATCAGTTTTAATTTCAGGAATGTATTCTGGCTCCCAAGACTGTTAGTGCCTACTGGGTCATGATTGTACTTGGGAGCTTATCTCACAGGTAGAGTCTTGAATGAGTGAAAGACAGCACTTGTTGTGAGGTCTCTAGAAAATATGTTTTCTTTGATGAGCTCTTCGCAAATGCACACTTTATACAAAGCTTTTGATGTTTTCTTCATGTGCAAATCCCAACTGAGCAGCCCACAGCATCCTTTAAAGTGTCCTCTCTGAGCAGATGATGAGAGGGTAGCCTCAGAGTAGGTGAAAAGGATAGAGGACCAAGGGCGAGGAAGAAGAGACTAGATTGTCCTTTGGGGGACCTGGGTTCAAAGTCATCTTTCCTCCATGCAGCCCATCTTGGTTCTGTCTCAGTGGACAATGTTTTCTCAACTACATTTCCATGGCAGCCAGCCTGACCTTGGTCAACAGCAAATCCAAGTACATCCTGGTTAAACTGCTAGCAATTTCCTCATCTTTAGGATAAAGTTCAGATGTAATATGCTTTCAAGAGTGCTGTTTCCTTGCTGGGTGGTGGCACATGCCTTTAATACCAGTACGTGGGAGGCAGAGTCAGGCTGATTGCTGTGAGTTCTAGGCCAGCCTGGTCTACAGGGTAAGTTCCAAGACAGCAAGGCTACACAGAGAATCCCTGTCTTGAAAGAAGAAAAGAAAAGAAAAAAAAAAGAAAAGAAAAGTGTTGTTTTTTTTCATGTGATTCCCACAGTCCCTCCTTCCCAAGGCTCTCCATGGTAGAAATCAGAGTTAGCCTGCTGCTATGTGCTCCAGCTAAACGGATGTCCCAATACTTTTCTTTTCTTTTTTTCCTTTCCTTTTCTTTCTTTCTTTTTTTCTTAAAGCTCCTCTAGGAGCTTTCTCTTTCTCTGCACCATGATCTTTTCCAAGTCACCCAAATATATGGTTCTTTTTTCTTTGTTTCCTATATCTGCCCTCAAGCATTCAGCCTGTTAATGGCCTGGTTCCCCTGAGCACATAGGTCTCTTCTCTTCCTATCCCCAGCCAAGACCAACACCCTGCAGTGAGAAGTACTCAGGCTGGAGAAATGGACAGAGTGAAGTGGCAGTGCTTCGTCTTTCTGTTACTTTAGGGCCATCTTCCTCTCCCCAATCAGACAAACCTTGATTTAGCAAAACCTTTTACTTCTGCTACATAAGAGAAAGAACATTCTGCCCTTTTCTTCTTGGGATTCTGGATCTACCTAGTTGAGGGGACCCATAAACTCCTCATTGGGGTGCACACATTTGCCTCCTAAGGCCTGCTTTGAGGTTGAGTCAGTGACAGCAGATGCAGAAACAAGGGGAGAGGACTATTTGGAGGTCATGCTTTGGATGCGGAATGCAGAAGCATATGGGCAGCTAGCTCTGAGCGCAGCCTTACCCAAGAGTAGGGCTATTTGGGCCAATCTCAAAGCTTGAGTCCCAATATAGAGGAACTTGAAAGCAATTTTTTTTTTTCTGTAGGTAATTGAGTCCTTGGTTCAAGAGTCCAAAGTTATTTAAACACTAAATCTGCTTTCAGACTAAATAAAGGTAGATGCTGGCCCCAAGAACCTGGTTAGAATACTTTGTGTAGGCTTAATCTTTTATGGGACAAACTTTGGAACTGAAAGTATTTTACTGGGCTCCATATGGAAGAAAAAATAAGCTGTATGTCCAGTAACATCCATCCATGTTCATCCTTTTAATCATTCAACAGGTCCTAGAAGCCCACGGACTGAAACCAGTTGTTCTGAAACCCAAAGAGGTAAGTCAAGAAAAACTTGTTTGTGTTAATAAACATTTACATGCGCTGTTTTCATCCTCGCTGCCAGCCTTATTGGTTTCTTAAGATAAATACAGCTTATGTGTTGATTGACAGCTGTTCACTGAAGAAAGGGCACGTCTGTGAACATCTAAGTTCCTGCGGGTCCTCCAAGAGCATAAATTTCAAATATAGTTTTTGAAGGAGCCTGATAAGATATGCCCAGTCAAGGCCCGTTAAGATGCTCTCAGCCACAAGTATGAACCAGGATAGTTTTAGGATGTCTCGACTGTGATGATGAGAGGCTGGTAAACAACACAACCTGGAGGGCTGAGGATGCTGCACAGACGCTGCGCTGCAGGGGCACATGGCTGCAAGAGGAACAGTCAGCAAGGACCCTTTGGCCAGATCTGTGCGGATGATTCCAGACGTGCTGCCACTCAAGTTCCTGAATATGCACGCCTGCCCCCATGCTTTCGAGAACACATACACAGCTCAGCTGACGGGCTAGTTCCTCTCCGACAAAAGCAGGAGATACAACATCTGCTTGTCCGCTCTTTACAGCACGAAACCTTGCTCCCTTCTCCCACAGGGCCTGGCACTCATCAACGGGACACAGATGATCACTTCCCTGGGCTGTGAAGCTGTGGAGAGAGCCAATGCCATTGCCCGGCAAGCTGACATTGTGGCTGCCTTGACCCTTGAGGTGCTGAAGGGCACCACCAAAGCTTTCGATACTGGTCAGCAGGTTCTCTTTGCTTACTCATTCAACCGGGGCAAGTGGGTTGATGTTTTTAGGCACAGAGGAGGTGGGTGGCAGAGAAAAGCAAGAAGACCCAGGTGCCCCTGGTATACCCAAGGACTGTTACAGCTTCACCTTACTTCTTCCACTGCCCTCTAACAACTATAATCTAAGGACAGACGTTGACCTGGAGAGTTAAGTTACCGGCTCCAGGTCACCCAGTGATCTGGGCATGCTAAGCTAGGGATTGTTTTAGCAGTCAGTTTGTAGGACATGACACTCCAACGAAAGGGGTTGAGGAGAGGTCAGCAGTGTATACTTGTGTTGCAACTATAACGACCAAAATTCAAACCCCAGAACTGACTTTTTAAGAATCGGAACTGGCAGCTGGGGCAGTAGTCACACATGCTTTTGATCCCAGCACTTGGAAGGCAGAGGCAGATGGATCTCTGAATCCCAGGCCATCCTGGTCTACAGAGCGAGTTCCAGGATAGCCAGAGCTGCATGGAGAAACCCTGTCTCAAAAACCAAAGAAAACAAACAAATCAGACGTGGCAGCGCATGTTTGTACTCCCACAGCTCAGAAGAGGGAGACAAGCAGATCCCCGGGGTCTCTGGCCAGCCTAGCTTTCTTGAGGAGTTTTAGGCCAATGAGAGACTCTCTCTCAAAATGAAAAATAAGGGGGAAAATGTGTACAGTGCCTAAGGAATGACACCCACGCTTATTCTGTGACTTCCATACATGCATTCATATTCACATACTTAGGCAGCTAGTCACAGGCTCGCACATGCACAGACAGACAGACACATACACACATGTGCACACATTAGGATTGCCCTCATAAGAAAACTGGGGAGGCAAGAATAACATAAGTATCTGCATCTTGTCTGGAAGTTAATGAGTGTCAAAGCCTCCACGTTAATAAGTAAATCAGGAGATGTCCCACAATGACTTGGGTAAATTAATTCACTCTGCGTGTCCCTGTTGTCATCGGGCCAGTTCTTTTAAGGGTGACCCTGGAGCCTTGAGTTAAATTTCTAGTGTCCTCTGCAAACAGTTTGCACTCTGACATGGACAGTAGAGAGAATAAAGTAGATAAAGGAAAATTTGCCTTTGGGTTGAAGTGTCTAATTCTGCATAATGGGTGAGAACTCCCAGGACTTCAGCACCATGAATGAACCATCAGTGGTTCATTCTAATATCACAACTACTCAGACTCATTTTGCCTCCTTCAATTCTAGACATTCATGCTGTCCGCCCTCACCGGGGACAAATTGAAGTTGCTTTTCGGTTCCGGTCACTCTTGGACTCGGATCACCACCCATCAGAAATCGCAGGTCTGGACAAGTCTGTTTGAATAGGCTCAGTGGGGCCAGGCGTTCTGGGGCGTTCGGTAATGTGGTGCCTGTTTCTCTCCCCTCGCCTCTGCTTGCGCAGAGAGCCACAGGTTCTGCGATCGAGTTCAGGACGCGTACACCTTGCGGTGCTGCCCACAGGTAAAGTCAAGAAACAAGGAGACCAACAGAGGCTCCTTTCCCCACATTCAGAAAGGAAAAAAAGTAGAAAATCGTGTCAGGGCCAAATGCAATCCAAACCTCTCTACTGCTACTGTTAAAAAGAGCGTATTTTGTACTTCCATTTCTCCAGTTTTTGTCATCTTCTTACTAGGTGGGCTGACCCTCCCACATCTTGACCTCCTGTGTTGATGGACTAAGACAGTTAAGTAGCACTGGGGAGTCTTTCTGGCTCTTCCAGGAGGGAAAAACTGCAGCCAGTCTGAGATGTTTACAGGAAAGCCTCATTCTGTCTCCCAGCACTCAAGGCATACCTTTATCCTCATTGTACAATTGAGTATAATCAATAATAAATGAATCTCTGAGACAACTTTAAGTAAGAAATGGGTCAGCTTTTTCACATGACCTGAGTGATGAGAGATTACAATCATCTCAAGAAACGATTTGTCAGTCAAGTTCTGGTAGAGAGAATAAAAGGGTGTTTTCCCTAGAGTAAATACCCTCATTTTCTATGACTCAGCATAGAGTCCTATTTAACTGGCTTATTGAACAATACTTCAAAAACATCTATGGGAAAGAACTGTTGGATTAACTGAACCATAAGAATAAGTCCTGATTTAAGAGCCCCTGCTACTCTAAGAACAACAACCACTGGCTCCAAACGATGTGCTCCATTATCTGTGGCTTCCAAATATTAACTCGCTGAATTTTTCCAACTGTGCAGTTAGCACTCTGTCTCATTTTCAGTCAGGACTTGTTGAACAGGGTTCAGTACCTTGCACAAGATTGCACCATTGGATCATTATCTCCTGGACTTTTGGGAGAAACCCAAAAGTGCACCATGGCTTTCCCAGGGCAAGATGCAGGGTGGCTGCTTTACTCATGAGCATCTTTAGTGTGGCACTTTGTGCTTCATGATGAGCATCCCCTTGATGGCCACCATCTGTATGATCTCTGTGACTCATGTCCGAGAGAGGCCTACAGTAGCTTACTCCATATGAACAGTAACGTAGCCTCCATTGTCTGCTTTCCAAATCTGCTTCTGTTTCAGCCAGAAACCTACCTTGCCTTCATCCTACTACTGGCATGGAAGTGAAATTCTTTGTGGCTAGAGCTGTCACTTTCCTATATCACAATGTTTTGCATATTAGTCTAATATATTTTTGTATTTACTTTAATGTATTTATCCTAATTTTTTTCACTCAGAACTTATCAGTTGTCTTCAAATCCTAAGTAAGCCAATTATACTTTTTATGATCATGACTGCAGAACAGTTACAAGGAGATGACTATGATGGTGCATGCCTCTAATCCCAGCACTTGGGGAGGTAGAGGAGGCAGGAGGATCTCTGTGAGTTTGAGGTCAGCCTGGTCTACAAAGCAAGTCCAGGACAGCTAAGACCACACAGAGAACGTTGTCTCAAAAAAAAGAAGCAAACAAACAAAAACAAAACAAAACAAAAACCCCACAAGGAAACAAAAACAACAACAGTTATGAGGAAAAGCCTGAAGGTGATATTTTACAAGAATATTAGCATTTTTATTGAGCATTAATCATGTGTCTTATTTTGATTATACTTTAGGTTCATGGTGTGGTGAACGATACGATAGCATTTGTGAAGGGCATCATTACTACAGAACTGAACAGTGCCACAGACAATCCTGTATCTTTTGGATGTTTGCAGTTTTCTCTAGCTGGCTGGGTTAGAATCTGCCTATGCAATCCTTCTGAAAGTGTCTGTGTCGCTACTCTGTTTTGTAGGTAGATGAGTTAGTCCCTGAGGCTGAGCCTCTTCTAGGTCAGAGCTGGTAAGTGGCAGGAGCAGACCTGTGACGCTACTCTGAGGTTCTGAGCCTAACATCCTAAGCTTTTGAAATAGGCCCATAAAAGGTTAAAGCAGCACTTCCCGTATTTGTGGATATGTTTCACAGAGATACTGGCTGAAAGGTTACTGCTGAGGCTGGTGGGGATGTGATTGCAGCCTCCTGGGCTGGCCTGGTCATAGTGCTGCTGGATGCTTTAAGCAGAAAACAACCATCAAATAACACATCAAAATGTTTCCAGTGAGGTAAGGCTTCCCCATTTCCAGGTTTCTTTCTGACGTAGGCTTGACTCAGTCCACAGTTTATCTATCTGTACACACAGTAAAGATGCTTTCATTCCTTGTGGAGGGAGGGAGTTCTTAACGGGATCACTTTCCCCCAGAAAGTCTGTTCTTTTCTTTGAAGCCGAGATGATGAGTCAGGGTATAGTCTCCACAGAGGCATTGCTGCCTTGGAAAACAGGCAACCCTCTTAGGAACCCTTTGGCCCCATTCCACAGCTGCCTTCATTCTAAGCACTGGAGAAAGTGCTGAGGGAGCAGCTGTGAGGACAGCTCACAGCCTGGGAGAGCAGGTGGCTGGTTACTCAACAGCTTGTCAGGCTTCTAACCCAGGCTTTGAAGGCACCTTTTCTGTAAGCCTTCTTTCAGATTCATTTCCCACTTACCTCAACACTCCCCAAAAGGAACAGTGGTTTCATGCATGTGGTGTGGTCTCAGCTCATGAGTTTGTTCTTGAGTGGTAAAGGAAAAATTCTATACTGGCACAGTTAGACCTCAAAGGGTAACTGAATGGGAGAGGATTAACATGAACTTCCTGGATATGGATGACAGGTTTCTATTTAGTTTTTCTCCTGGCCATAATTTCAGAAAAAAAAAAAATCCTCTAATTCTTAGTAAAAGACGCTTGATTGTGGATGAATTTGCAGGGAGCTGAGAGTCCAGTACTTATGCTGCCTGAGGAAACAGGTTTCTCAGTGTTCCACCACAGGTGAAGTGCACCCAGGGAGGTTGAAAGTTGCTGAAACCTAATGACCAACAAAGTTGGGAAACAAGAGGTTAATACAAATTCAGTTTCTAAATTACAGCATCAGGCAGTCAACGCAGGGATCCAGATGACAGAGAAAAGACTGTTACGTGTCAGGGACTGACTGCAAGACACTCTTCCTGTTGCAAAATCTTTGTCTGCTCAAGTCCCTTTGATGCTTCTTGTTGTCTACCTTAACTCCTCACTTGCTTGCCTGTAACACCCAATACAGTGCAAACGCCACCTCAGCAGTTTTACTGTATTCTGTAGGGAACAAGGACAAGAAAAGGTCAGCACGCACTCACTATAGACACAATGTTTTTTCTTTTTCTGAGCACTGTCATTTAGAGGTTGGCTGATGCCACAGGGGCACCCTCTGGTGACAAATAGCTGAATATATTATTTCTAAAACCCAGAAGGAAAGCATTCATTTCCAGAACCGGGAAGGAGGAGCTATTACTGTCTTTGCTCTTGTGCCTGCTGGCTTGAGCAAAGTACGTGACAGACTGGGACTATGTCTGAGGGCAACCACGCTCCGTGAGTCCGGATTCCTCCCCTGCCGGGGGGCCTGTAGGACCTGCTGGCTGGACCTGTGGCTGAGCACTGGCGCAAGATCTCAGAGGACAGAGTGGGGAAACAACCCAACACTGTTCATTTCAGACATTTGGATGGGTGCTTGTCAACTGAGTCTTCTCTTTAGCAGCTTCTTCTGTGAGCAGGGGTTCACAGCTCCATGGAGGAACTAGAATTCAACTTCAAGCAGGTGGTTCATGGTCATAGATTTAGCTCTTGACTACAAGTGTTAAATTGGCAGATTGGAAAAGCCATGGGAGTTGACATCTCTGATCTCAGGAAAAACATCTCATGCCCCATGTTTTTTGGCCCCAGTTACATGCGCACAATTTACCTTCAATGTGTATGTTTGTGTGTGTGCATGTGTGTCAGTGGCTCTCAACCTTCCTACTGCTGTGACCCTTTAATACAATTCCTCGAGTTGTGGTGACCTTCAGCCATAAAATTATTTTCGTTGCTGCTCCATAACTATAATTTTGCTATTGTTATGAATCATAATGTAAATATATTTCTGACAGTCTTTGGGGGGTCGCAACCCACAGGTTGAGAACCGCTGCTTTATGAGCACACCTGCTTATGGGAAGATGTGTCCTTCTCCCTATATCTGTACAGTGACAGTCACCTCAGTACTAAAAGTAAGCAGATGGGGATGGGAGCTACCTTTGAAGTGGCCAGCAATGTGACATTTAAGCCTTAACCTGTTTTGAAAGATGGTCTTTGCCAGTCGAGGAGAGACAATTTCGGGAGGAAACTTCCATGGTGAATACCCAGCCAAGGTAAGCTTTCTAAATGTGCTCCTGACCCCAAAAGTGCATTCCAGTGCAGGCTGCCTGAACTGAGGTGTTCTTTTAGGCCCTGGACTATTTGGCTATCGGCGTTCATGAACTTGCGGCCATTAGTGAAAGAAGAATCGAAAGGTTGTGCAACCCCGCCCTCAGTGAGTTGCCTGCCTTCCTGGTGGCGGAAGGAGGTCTGAACTCTGGATTCATGATAGCCCACTGCACCGCGGCCGCCCTGGGTAAGGACACTGCCCTTAGCCAGATCACAGGTCTGTCCACCAAGGGCCTTTCCTGTTTCCCCAAAAGTATCAGCTTTTGCCTTGAAATGATTCCTGTTTCTCCACTTTCATGTTTATTCTACCTCTCATGCTTAACATAGCAAGTAGGTTGAGTCTGAGCATTTTCTAGAGAAAAGAAACCCTACACAGTGTAATGCTGGAAGATTATAATGCAACAGTCAGATGTAAATGGACAGTTGCCCCAGAGAGAGGAATCTCACCTTGCACTTGAACTTCATCTTTGTACCTTTTTTCCCCCAAAGACTATCAGAGGGAAAAAACAAAGCAAAACAAAAGATGATTATAGTTGACGGCAGAAGTTCAGCCAAACTGAATGATTAAATTTGGAGATATTCTCTTTGATCCACTATCTGTTAAAAGATTAAGATGTTCTCAGAACTTATACAAAATACTTCCAAGAAGCAATAGGCCTACTGAAAAACTGAGCTTCAGTGTAGCTGGTTTCTGATTTGAGATTGCAAGGGGTTCATCAGAACAAAGCCTGTTAGTGCCAATGCCTTTACTTATTTCTCCTCACTTAATCTTCGCTCCCGGGGCAGGTGGTGGGCACTGTTAATCTCCACTGGCCAGATGAGAGGAGACCGAGAGGCTAAGTGGCTTTCCCAGAATTATACAGTAACTGGATGTAGAGAAGAACTCAAATACAGACATATTGGTACCCAATTTTGCGTACTTACTTCAGTGAACTTTTTACCATCGCCAACCACCACCACCATCATCATTTAAACAAGAACTTTCAGTTTGTTCACTTAAAAGGAAGTCAAGTTTCTAAACTTGTTATAAATGAAAAATGAAATTCTTAAAGAATCTCAACCAGATCTGAAGCAACTTAAAAATATTTAGTGGCTGATTGAGAAAAACAAGGCATTAAGAAAAAACCACAAATGAACTAAGCAACCAAACCTATATCTGTCATTACCAAAAAGAGACATCCTTAGGTAAAAGTAATAAAAACTGCATGCTTCATAGACAATGCAAATAGTTCTGTCTTATCTAGCCAACTGTTAAAGAAAACTGACCCTTAAGGTCTTCAGCTCCCATCTTCTTACTTCCTGTTGCTGGAATGTCATGTTAATTATGCTCAGTTTTTTCTTGTTGGATGACTAAACTGGTTGATGAAATTGTTGAGTAAGCTGATATTTATTCAGGCCCACCCTGCTTTGCATAAATAGATGAGTCCTCCGTTGCCTGCTTGCATCTCTTTGCTATTTTATGGTTTAGGATTCTCTGAGTATTAGGGTTGTAGCTGAAGTTGCAACACTTTGAAGTGGCTGCTGATCTTGGATCTCATGTCTTTGAGTCTCCTTCCTGTCATCATTGCTGTCTTCTCTAGGCTGTTTTGGGGGAGAAGGGCTCCTACATGGCCTATAACCCCAAACACAGTCTGTCTTAGTGGTCTACCTTGCTGTCTTGCTCTCCAGCTGCCATCACCTTCTGTCTATTCTTCCTGAACAGGAGGGTTAAAATAAGGTGGTCCTAGCATGTAAGGGGAGAATCCCTGTCTAGAATAGGGTGGGTGTTACTGGGCCTGGCCTTCTAGAGCACTCTCTGATCCGTCAGTCTCTCCATTAATTTCATTATTCTAGTAATGCTGCTGGAAACCAAGTGGAGGGCTTCTATCACATGAAGAGTGTTTACCATGGTTGTAATAGACTACATATGTACTGCCTTGGGCTCAAACTCCACCAGGGCCTGTAACATTTACTTCCTCCACACACCTCCATGTCATCCTCTTGATGAAACCATATCCATTTCTTATACTGAGCCATTTTACTGTTCTGAAAACCTTCCTTCGCAGGTGGATATAAAGGTATGGATATGTCTGCCTGGGGTCTCAGCCTAGCTGCTGTTGGTTGCCATGATAGTGGCTGCGCTGCAGCAGCTGTGGCTTTCCTGGGTGTGAGGGTCGTTAGGCTGCTGGGGCCGGGGGACTGCTCAGGGCTCTATGGGTTCCACTCTCTGCTCCTGCTACTGGCTGATATCAAAAATCTCGTGTTCATCTGTACATAGTCTTAAAATAGAGTGGTCAGATTCAACAACAGAAAAAGTAAGATGCCCAGTTTTATTTGTATTACTTAGGATCTACCTATGCTAAAACACAACAACAACAACAAAAAAAAAAAACAATAACAAATTCCCAACCAAACATTGTTTTTATCCCAAATCACAACTTAGCTGAACATTCTGCATTTTCTTTACTAATACTACCTCAAAGGACTAAGTAACATAATAGTTAATTAAAAGCATCCAGTGGGGCTGGGCAGTGGTGGCACATGCCTTGATTCCAGCACTTAGGAGGCAGAGGCAGTTGGATCTCTGTGAGTTCAAAGCCAGCCTGATGTACAGGCTGTAGCTAGGGCTACACAGAGAAACACTGTCTTGAGCAAAACAAAAACAACAACAACAAAATGCATCCAATGCATTCTAAAACCCAGACCTGCCATTTATAATCAGTGTGCTTTCCAGACTCTCTATCCTGTTGAAACATCCTCAGCTCTTTGCTGCCTACAGCACACAATGACTTCTTACCTAACAGGGTTGTCTTGTTGTTAAATGAACTAACTCTACATATAAAGTCTTGGGGCTTTGCCTGGTACCATGAACACTAACGAAACAGTAATTTTTATTTGATACTATTACCTTTTTTGGAGACAGGTTCTCATTATGTAGTTCTTCTAGCTAGCACAGAACTCAGAAATAGACCAGACTGACCTGACAACCTGTACAGATTCACCTGCCTCTAACGTCCCAGTGCTTGACTTAAAGGCATGCAGCACCATGCCAAACAATTCTTAAGCCCTGCCTTGCTCAGGCTCCTCACTGAAACTCAATATAGTCAACTAAAGAAAGGACCATTGAGTTCACCTTCTTCTCTGGCCCAGTATCATCTATTTGTTTGTGCCACTGTCTCTAAAAAGCATCCTTAACACAGAGATTTCTCATTTTATGGTGGTAGAGGGGCAACAATAATTGGTTTCTAGAGAAAATTATGCACGTTGGGAAGACTGGCTTGACTGAGTTCTGCCTCATAAGCTACTCACTGAAGATGGCTTCCTTATTGAAAATGTTTGTTTTCTTAGTTATTCAGTACTATAAGTAAGGGTACTATAAGTTTGTTCTTTATTGTACCAGAGCACAGTTTTTAATGGCAGAACCTGAGAGGCCTTGGACAAACCAGGACAAGCTGGTCACCCTCGTCTAACCCTGGATCCTTGCAGGGTGGTATACCTTATAGCAGTAGTGATCAACCTTCCTAATGTTGCAGCCCTATAATATAGTTCCTCATGTCGTGGTGACCTTCAACCATAAAATTATTTCTTTGCTACTTCATAACTGGAATTTTTCTACTGTTATCAATAGCAATGTAAATACCTGTGCTTTCCAATAATGGTCTTAGGCGACCCCTGTGAAAAGGTCATTAGAGACGCACGGGTAAAGAACTGCTACCTTATAGCACAGAAAAGAGCAGGAGCTATTTCTAGATCTGTGGAAGAGGAGAAAAGACTTCAAATTTGACTTTTCCTAACATCTAGAGCTGGGGACAAGGAACTTGGCTCCTTAAGGTGTAGGCAATCAGGTCAACAACATGGCATCACATGGGAGTTTATTAAAGTGGTGGGAACTCAGAGCCAATCCCAAACTCAGTTATCTGCACTGTAGCAAGATGATTAACTAATGTGGAAACTCAGGCTTGAGAGACTCCATTATAGAGGCCCCTCACTTCCCAAACATCACTGGCTATCATGAAGCCTTTGTTCAAGCCAAGAACGCCTACACAGTGTTGGAACTGCCCTAACCACTCAATGTTGCCCAAGATCTACAAACCCAGAATTGGTTCTCGGTGACATCCCTAAATTCTAATTCGCCTCTTCTCTCAAGGTAAGTAAACCATTCTTGAGTAGCCAGACTCATCCATCATCTTCCGCCCCACCCTGTCCCTATCCATCTTCCTGGCATGCTGAATGCTTCCAGCGTTTTTGGCATGGTTTATAATGAGGGCATTCCCAAATTCTCATCTTCATCTTAGCTCGGAACTCACCAGGATCATAGCATCTTTCCAACTTTGGGAGAAAATTGACTTTGGTGTGGCTTTGCACCAGCGAGTGGTTGGTCATGGTCAAGAGCCCCTGGAGAGGGCCCTTCATGCTGTGAGACCTTGGGGGAGTCCTGTATGATGTTGGCAGCATTTCTTCTTAGGGTTACTGTGTCGTCTGCACTGATCTCTTGCAGTCTCGGAGAGCAAGGCTCTGTGCCACCCTTCATCTGTGGACTCACTCTCCACCAGTGCTGCCACGGAGGACCACGTCTCCATGGGAGGGTGGGCAGCCAGGAAGGCCCTCAGGGTCGTCGAGCATGTGGAACAAGGTAAAGCCAGCAGCGGGAGGTGTGCCTCACTGGTAAACTAGTTTTCTGGGTCTTTCTCGAAATGGAATCACTGCCCACAGAATCAGTATTCTCTGGAGACTCATTTGAAATGCAGATCCTCTGGCCTCTCCCAGAAACACTAGGGAGGAGAGGGAAGTGTGGCTAAGGCAGTTTTCTAGGTGATTCTGATGCTCAATGAAGATTAAGAATGGAGGAGGTCTATAGAGATAATCTGGCCCTTTATATAGCTTTATCTTAAATGGGGTGGGGGTAGAGTTTTTGTTTATTTTAATATACAAAAATGGAGAGAATTGGACCTTGTGCCCTCACAAGCTTTATCCCGATTCAAAAGCTTAAACATTTGCTTCCCTTTTTGCTTTCCCAAATTAGTCTTGAGCAAATCTCCAATTTGCTTCATTTAAACTTTCTCTCTTGAATATGAATGGCTTCAGGATGAGAGATGGCTGGGGCATGAAGAGCAGCCAACGCTCTTGTAAAGAATCTAATTTCAGTTTCCAGAATCCATGTCAAGTAGCTGCCTATAACTCCATCTCAGGAGGCATCTGCCACCTCTGACTTACACGTGTCCCAGTGCTCATGCATGCACATGTGCAGCACCCACATGCGCACACACACACACACACACACACACACACACACACACACACACACTATTAAAAGTAAATGATAATAAGTACAAGTATTTTCTTGAGATTATAATTACATCTCTCCCTTTCCTTTTTTCTTTCCAACCCCCCTCATAAACCCCTCATTTCTCTCTTTGAAACTCATGCTTTCTCTTTTTTTATTGTTATTACAGGCATATATGTCTATGAATATGTATATACAAAATATATTCCTAAGAATAACCCACCAAGTCTGAAGTCTGTGTAAGGTCAATTGTATTTATATTTTCAGGCTGTTTGGTATTGGACAACCAGTTGGTGTGGTATTTCTCGGAGAAGACTTATTTCTTCTATTCTCAGCATTCCTTCGTGGCCTGTAGTTTTTTGTGTAGGCTTTACCCCCAATCCACATTAACATGTCTTTTGGTGGTGGCATCCTTATTCAGCTCATGGATGCTTTCCTCTCAGCCAGGATGTCATACTACACCCAATGAAATTAACGGCTGAGCCCTGGTATCAACACCTAATACAAATTCAGAATTACCCAGCTGCAACACACCAGCCTTTCCATTGGGTTTGTGTAACCATAGGGTTTTTCCACTTGAGCCCCAGCTCCTGAAATAATGACTCTCAGACCCATAAATGCCTAGGCCATAAGCTTTGGCTCTTTCCCTGACTATCACATAAGTTATAATACCTATTTATTCTATTATATATGTGCCACATGGCTGGTTACCTCTCCCCAGTTTCATGTGTCCATCTTCCTCAGAGTCCGGGATGAATCTCCCACCTCTCTCTATCCCAGACATCATCTCTCTCTCTCTCTGCTAGAACTACTTCCTGCCTCAACTAACAGGCCAGCAGCTTTTATTGACAGGTGATGCTTCCATACAGTCACAAGAGATTCTCTCTACAGGTTTGTTCAAGCAGGATCCCAGATGCGGTTTTAAATTCTGTTGTCATGACTCTAAACATCTTTTCATCTAGCATCATCCCGTGCCTCCCTGTTTTCCTTCAGGCTTTTGACTCAGTGGGAGACCAGACTAGATTTCCTGTAGGAAGATGGGTGTTATGGATTTTCTAGTAGCTTCTTTGTGATATCACTATGTGTTTTCTTTTCGCTAGGCATCTATGATGCGGTGACATTGACTTGAAAGGTTTCATGACATTTAGATTCACCCTGCTGTCAGATACCTCACTGGGAGAGTTGTGTTGGGTTACCCTCTCTACCTTCACTATTGCTATCTTTGATGACAGTGCAATCGCCTTCCATTAAATATAGTCTCCCTAAGTTCCTGAGATGTCACAGAATCCCCCAAGTCCTGTCCCATGAGGAAAGAATAGCCTAGGCTAAAGCGAAAGTATAACTTTTCATTTATACTTTACCTCACCCCTCTAAAGTGCAACGGTTTTAGTGTATTCACTGATGTGAGCAACCGTATGTCTCAGAGAATTTTCATCAATCCACCTCACCCTCCACCCCCCAAAAAAACCTCTGAAGTCTTCAGTTTATCACACCCCATTCTCCCTAATTCCCCCAGTCTCAGGCAACCACTGTTTTAGGTCCCTATAGATTTGCCTGTTATAAACATTTCATGTAAACAGAATCACACACTGTATGCTCCTTTAGCCTGGCTTAGTTTACCTAGCACACTGCTTTCCAAGTCCATTTGTGTTCTAGCATTGTTTTGCTTTGATTGTCTTGTAGCAACACTCACATTTTACTTTATGCATTCATGGTGGAAGGACTGGTTGTTTGTGCATTTTGGCTAATAGGTAATAGTTTTTATGGGGGCAGATGTTTTCAGTTGTCTCTCTGTCAATCTTTTTGGAAAGCCGAAGATGGCTTTCCACAGTGGATACACAATGTTACACGTCCACTGGCAGAGTTTAAGGACACCCATTTCTCTATGTCTACAGCAGAACCTGTCTGTCTATCATAGTGTTCATCTGAATGTCCACACATTGGACAGTTCCCCCACTAAATCCATCACCCTGACCAAAAGTTTAAAGAGTTTCCCTTATGTATCCTCACGACTTTTGTCTGGTTCATCAAGACACCAACACACAGATTCAGGCCTGTCACCTCTTTCCGGTGAATCTCCTGTGCAGTTGTCATGTATTACAAAACAGGGTGAGCACCTGCAATTTAGAGCACACCATGCCCCACCTGAAAAGCTGTCTTTTGAGTTACTTGAGTTACTTTCCAGCACTCAAAACCACAACTCCCCTACTTCCTTGGGCCCAGAAGCCTGGCAAGATCTGACATCTGGCTCTCACCACTCCTCTCTCATGCCCTCCCTCCCCAGGACTACAGTGATGTCCTTCAATGCCGGGGGACACATCCCTGAAGCTCTTGCTCCAAGGACTTCTGGTTCCTTTCTAATTCCATCCATGTAGCTCCCCAAACTTCTCACACACCTTCCTTGGCCTCAGCTAGACTAGCACCTGCTGGTTTTTTTCTTCCTTCATTTTGTCTTGTTTTGTTCTGTTCTGGGAGCACAAAGTGCCTTTGATACAGATAGGCTTGTTTGTCTTTCCCCAATGCCAAGGATCTTGTCCATATAGCACTAGATGGACCTGGCTCAGATGTATTGCTCAGATGTTTACATGGCAGGAACCTTGACACTGCCGTCCAGATTGTTGCCTAGCTCATCAATGCCGTGCTCTCTGTTTACAACATGGAAGGGGAATCAGCCACAAACCAACAAGCATGTGCTCCATCACAAATGTGTTCATTACCTAAGTTTGTTTTGATTACAGATGTTCAGCAAATACAAAAAGAAAATTGTAACCATCCGGTAGTGCTGGCTCTAAGCGTGAGATATGAGCGTGTGTATCACATGTCCACTCACTATCCTTGCTTAAGTAACTAGAGCGGGAGTGTGGAAAGTGTACAAGAGCATCTGCCACTTGAGCAGAGCACTAAGAGAGTGGTAAGATGTACCCATCTTCTGCCCTTATGGAAACCAATGTCTGTTCAGAGAAGCAGACACTGGCCATCTCAACAACTCTGCAGTAACAAAATGCTGAAGGGCAGAGTTACAGGAGGAAAATGCAGAATCTGATCAAATCTGAAGGGACCAGAAATGGCATCTTCAAAGGAGAACCCAAGATTAAGACCTGAATAACATATGGCCAACTGTGTGTGTGTGTGTGTGTGTGTGTGTGTGTGTGTGTGTTTGTACTGAATTACTGTTATAAGGGAAAAGTAAGGGAAATGCAAAAAGTCAGTTGTTTTAGGATGCATTGCAATGAAGACATAGGACATTGAAGAACAGATATCAAAGCTCGAGGAAGAATTGCTGGATGACGGTCAATGCTCAGTGTATAGAAGAGGTGACATAGAAGTATGGCCTTGATGAAGCAGTTGTATTGGGGATGAAAGAAGACTGAAAGTATAACAGCTGGCTGGAAGGAGGAAGGGAACTGGGTCAAAGGGGACACCTCTGGGAACTCAGGACAGAGAGCTCTGAAGGGAGGTAGGGGGCCAAGTCAAAACAACACTCTTCTAGAGACAAATATCATGTATTTAAATTAGCTCTGTGGTAGGGAAAAGCACTAGATAAATTTTGATACATCAGAGTAGCATACACATTAGTAGTATAGCTAAAGAGTGCTGTAGTCTGTTTGCTTAGGATGCTTTTATTTCTTTTTAATTCTGAGTAAATTTTTCATACCATATATTCTGATCACCTTTTCCCCTCTGATCATGATTTCCCTCTTTCATCTCTTACCAGATCCTCTCCACCCATCCAACAAAATGCCTTCTTTCTCGCTCTTTAGTAAAAAAAAAGTCAATAAAACAAAGCAAACAGACATAGAAGAAATAGGAAAAAGAAAAAGCACAAGAGACACATACACACGCGCAGAGCTATGCATACACATGCACATACATGAAAACACAAATTTGGCTCCAACAATACCACTGAGTTCATTTTGTGTTCGGCTGTGTAGTGCTGGGCCCAGTCTTGGCTTGTATACCCCATGAGGTTCCCTTGAATGAAATTAAAGCTTTTCTTTGCAAGCAGTTGTCAATTGGGTAGCTTCTGGGTTAGAGGTGAGGGCTGTTGTCTACTTCTCAGAGTTCTGGGACCCCATCTGACTTGAACCTGTGCAAGCCCTGTGCATGCTAGCACAGTCAGTGTGAGTGTGTATGTTTGTGTGTCAGTCCTGCTGTATCTGGAAGGCATTGTTTCCTTGGTGTGTCTTCCACACACACCCCCCACCCCCAGCTCTTACCATCTTTCTACCTTTTCTTCTGCATAGATCCCTGAAGCCTCAGGCTGCAGTTAGCAGGGGTCCGCACAGTTATCCCATTTCAGTCTCAGTGTTCTAAGGTCTCACATCTGCACATTGTCCACCTATGGGTGTCTATACTAGGTCTCATCTACTCCAGGAAGAATCTTCTCTGATGGTGGCTAAGTGAGACACTGATCTATGAAGTACAGCACAATGTTGCTAGGAGGGTTTTTTCCTATGTTTTTTTTCTTTAATTATAATAACAGTATTTTTTTTTGTTTGTGTGTGTGTTTGTTTTGCTTTTTTTTTTTTTTTCTAGGTCCATGGCCTATCTATCTCAGGTTCTTGGCCACCTGAGCAGTGTCAGGCATGGGTTTCATTTCATGGAGTAGGCCGTAAATCCAAGCAGAGAGTGGTTGGTTACTCCTATGCCTTTTGTGCCACTCTTGCACCAGTGTGCCATGTAGACAGGCCACCATTGCAGGTCAAGGAGTGTGTGCCTGGTCGGTGCCTAGCTTTCTTCTCTGGTAGGATGCGGGGTACCTTCCAGGATCGTGAATGCGAGTCAGCAGGGGTGAAGGCTCCAGTGAGGCACCAGCTCAGCTCTTCTGTGTTCAATGAGATATATCGGCGTCATCCTTTTTTGGAAAGCTACCAGCACACTTGGAAACAGCCTGAGTGGTTCGGGGTTTCTATGAGATTCCTTCTGCCAACGACTCAATTAGACGTAGCCCATTCCTGGCACTGGAGGTTTCACTTGGTGGTGTGAGAAGTCCAGCTGGGTCATTGTCTCCTCTGCTATTTGGTGATTCCACTTAGGTTTATTTCATATATGTACATATTTTAAGAATCTCTTATTGTACTAGGTTTCTGTATGATCCTTCAAGTGGCCCTTAGAGTTGCTGAACCTTCCTGTGTTTTCTCCCTTTCTCTCCCTCCTGTTTAATTATTCCACCCCATCTCTCCAAACCTGTCTATTTTATTTGCCCTCCTTTTAGGATTTCCTCTCTCTCCAGTCTCTTACTCTATACTTAACATCTGTGGTTTTACGGGTAGTAGCACACTTATTGAAGGCTTAAGAGCTGATATGCTTAGGATGGTTTTAATTCATGTGAACTTTACTAAGATGAAGAAATTAATCCTAGAATTCAATGACATTGCCATGACTCACAGGTATTTTCAATGTGCTTGAATGACAGGCAGCTTGCCCAGTTAGGGTAGCCATTGGGCTTATTTTCAAAAAGTAAGCATCTCTCTAGATGAAGATGCACCAAAGCCTTGGCACAATCGTATTTGTGACCACTGGTCACAAAGCAAAATGTGTCACAAGTAGCAACTGAGAGCTTTTCGAAGTGTTTCATGCTTACCTCTCAAATGCTCCTGGTCCCTCTCTGCCCTCGGCTGCACCGGTTACACCACCACTTCTGTTTGGCAGTGATACAACATGTTACTAGTACATGTCATAATGCCCTACCTGTGGCCATCTGTACCTCACTTACTTTATATATAACGAAATAGGATGGTCACCCTAGGGAGGCATGTACAAATCTGGCAACCAAAGCAGAGGTCCGTGTGTCCAAAGCTGTGCAGCCTTAATGTCAGTGATGAGGTCTAAATCCAGGTTCAAGTCCACTATCTCCACTACTCCCTGTCAACATAAGAAACGAGTTTAATCTGGAGTTCATTCTACGAGTGGCTAGGAGCAAAGATCTAGGTTACCCTAAGTTCCATGTTCCCCTTTGGCTGGTTTTTATAGTGCCAGAACAAAAGAATGTCCAAAACCCAGCCATTTTCTAAGCCCATTGGTGGAAGCGTCAGGTAGCTGGGTTACGGTAGAGCAGAGAATTCTCTGCCAGTCTCAGATGCTATTTAGTACCATTCTTAGCTTTGGGGTTGGATAGAGACAGTGATACGTTAAGTTAACATGTCCCAAAAGGTTTCATGTGATAGTCACGAGGACACAGGGCTGGGCAGTGCAGTGGGTGGCTGTCATGTGGACTAGTGCTAGCCCAAGATGGTTGGGTTTGGGTTTGCAGCAGTGCAACCCTCAGTAGTCAGTCAGTCCATTAGCTTTGTAGAGTCGTTAACATGGGTGTGGTTTTCTTTTCTCCCTGACAACTGCAGTTCACAGTGGGTAGCCCAGATGGTGCATTCCAAATATCTGACTTCTTGCCTTGCAGTTTATGCAGCACATTACAAATCCATGTGGGTACAGAGAGGGAGAGAGGACAAATAATCCACCATGGACCTAAAAGAAAAATCACGTCTTTATTTAGTAAAACTAGGGCTCCAAGCAGAGATTGGGGTACTTGTGCTGACTTCCCTCCCTATCCACATGACACAAACCTGGCAGATGTGCCAGTGAAGTCTATTGGGTAGTTCCCGGAGTAGGTTAAGAAGGATGCTAATCTGTCCTGGTCAGATTTTCCAGCTCATCAATGAAGATACAACCAGGGGGTTAGAGAAAGAAGCTAAAAACCAATTCAGGGCTGGAGATGTATGTAGCTCAGTTGGTGAACTGCCTGCTCCTAGCATGCGCAGGCTCTGGGTTCAACCCCAGAACCACATAAACTGGTTGTAATAGTGCATGCCTGTGATGCTATCCCTAGTAGGTGAAGGCAGGAGGATCAATTCTTATTCTTGGCTGCAAAATGAGTTGGAGGCCAGCCTGGGGTACTCGGGGTCCTGTCTCAACACAAAACAACAACGAAAAGCTAATAGCACAGTAGTAAGGCAGCTTCATTCCATCAAAACAGAAAACCAACCGACCTCGTGGTTGGCTCCTGATAGTTGCAACTGTGGGTGATTTCAGCCCCGTAAGGATAAGGCCAGATTTTAACTAATTTCTGCTGATACGTTTTTATTTTAGTGCTGGCCATTGAGCTTCTTGCTGCCTGCCAGGGCATAGAGTTTCTACGCCCCCTGAAAACAACCACCCCACTAGAGAAGGTGTACGACCTGGTGCGCTCTGTGGCAAGGTAGAGTCAACAGATCTCTGGGACTGACTCCACATCAGAATGGTGGGTGTCTACGGACGCGGGGTTGTAGCTGATGGCTTGATCTGCTTTCTCTGTAGGCCCTGGATAAAAGACCGCTTCATGGCCCCAGACATTGAGGCAGCACACAGGCTGCTGCTGGAGCAAAAGGCAAGCTGACAGCTTTGCGGCTGTGGGGAAGTGAAGTGGGGGCTCAGCTGTTCTCTCCTGGCTGTTTCTAGGAGGAGAACACAAAGATATAGAGCTGATCCGCAAAGTGGCTAAAGGACATTTGATAGTCCCAGCTTGGACCCAGATAGTGACTGTGGAAGGATTAGAAGAAGTGGGTTTTAAATGGAGTGTGGAGAGAGTATTCCCGAGGAGGGTATGAGGACAGTGGTTTATTAACCTTCTGTACGATTGTCCTCTGCTAAAATACTTTGTCCTGCTGATGTTAGCACAGCCGCCACCACCAAGGGAAGAGGACACTGTGAAGTGCCGGGGCTCCACTGTATCCCTGTACCTGACTATTTAGGCAAGATATAGTTTTTGTTAGTGCTTATCTCCTTTGGTTATATTGACCATAGACTCAGAGGCCTAAAAGGCCAGGTCATCTTTTAAAACACACACACAATACAAATTAATACAAATGTATATATTACATATGTACTTAAATATGTCTACTAAAGTGTATGTATAGCACATATTTAATACATATAATACCTTTTATGTATATGTGTATGTGTGTGCACATTTTTTAATGCTTTAAAATTTTTGAGTCATTAGTGTCCCATGCCCTAGAGTCACTTGATTTCCCTTAGAACTGTCACTCTGCTCTGGGGGAACAAGCTTTCCTTGAAAAGCGTCACATCTCTTATTTTGAAGTAAACCCCATATCCTTTGATGGGACATTTCTTCCCTGCCACCAGTACAAAGGTATGTGAGGGGCTAGCTTGTGAAAGAATAAACATTCTTTTTTTGGATTTGTTTTTTAAGACAGTATCTGGAGCTATGCAGCTCAGGCTGACTCAGAACGCACTGAATGGCCTCAAGTTCATGGCAATCTTCTTCCCTCAGCATATTCCAGAAACAAGAGTGTTAGGATCAAGGCAGGAGCTGCCACACTAGCTAAGAATATATTTCATGAGGCCATAGATTCCTTGGCTGTCAGGGGCCACTGGCTTGGGAGGGAAAGTGAGAGCAGAGGGTGGGGGAGGAGCTACAAAGCAAAAAATGGGACCTTAAGAAAATAGGCTGGCAGATGAAGAGGAAAACTTGAATATGCATGTGGCTCTCTTATCAATGTATGCACACTTAGCTTCCATCCCATAGTTCTCCGGTAAAGGGTGGGAGCCAACTGATGTGCCGTTTTTGAATACCTGTGGCCATAGAAACACAGCCTTGGGGGAATTCACTGTACCACTGGTTAGCTTCTGAGCCTCACACTGTATCATACCCTCCCTATGCACATGGAATTTCACTCTGAGTGGCCAAGGTTTTGTTGTTTTTTGTGGATTTGCTCTGGAGGAGGAAACAGCTTTAAAACCTTTTAAAAACATGAGCATGGTTTTGGACTTTGTATGTAAAAACTCTTTAATGTATCCAGAAACTAATTGATACAGACTCTGTGTCAAATAGCTGAAGAAAAAAATAAACAAAACAAAACAACAACAAAGCAAGAAAGGTGCTGCTGTGTGTTTGGCCAGGTGCAGGGTTGCTTCGAGCGGGGCAAAGCTCATGTTTCATCAGAGCATGTAGAAACAACCTTGTCCTTCTTTTGACTCTGTTCCCTCCTTGCCTCTCAGGTTTGGGAAGTTGCTTCACCATACATCGAGAAATACAGAATGGAGCACATTCCAGAATCCAGACCGCTTTCCCCAACGGCGTTTTCACTAGAATCCCTGCGAAAGAATTCAACCACGATCCCTGAGTCTGACGATCTTTAACAGGCTTCCTCAGGGACAGGCACATCAGAGGAGCATGAGCAGAGCACAGCAGTGGGGTGCTGAAGGAGAGGCCTAGGAACCTCCCGGGATGTGTAGAACTTTTCAAACTTGCTCTGCTTAGGCCTGGGACAGCAATGCAGTCATGGAACCCAGAGCTCTGTTCTTGTTGCCATGGTTTGAGGGGTACCAGGTGCCTTCTGGCTGGGGAGTTTCCTTAATATAAAGAGGCTACTTACCTACTCTTAAAAACAGCCATAGTTTCATAGGTCTGTTTTTAGTCTTAGTATTAGGAGAGTCAGTTCAGAACATTTTTCTTAACAAAACAAAACAAAACAAAACAAAACAAAAAACACATTAGATTTTTGTGAACTTTTAAAAGGAAAAAAAATTGTCTTGGGAAACTCTCTAGTTGGCTGATTGTACTATACCATAATCTGACAAGTATGTTTTGAGTCAGAATTTGTTCTTAAGCCTCTCCTCCTTCTGCTAATTGAGTCATAGAAATGTCTTAAGCAAGGGGAACTAGTTCAGGGGTTGCATAAACACGAAGATCCAAATTTAGTTCAGTTCTCCAGCATCAGGGTAAAAAAGTCAAGCATGGTGGTGGGCCCCTTATCCTCAGTGCTGGGGGACAGAAACAGCTCCTGGGGATTCATTGTTCAGCCAGTCTAGCAAAATAGTGAATTCCAGGTTCAGTATGAGACCCTGGCTCCCTCCCCACCCCACAAACATGATGTTTGGTGGGGAGTTGATAGAAGAAGACATTTTAACCTCCACCTTTGGGCTCTACATGTGCCAGCATGAGCAAGTCTACACACATAGACATTCATGTACACACACACACACACACACACACACACACACACACACACACACACACACGAGACAGAGAGAGAGAGACAGAGGGAGGGAGGGAGAAATGAGAATAATGAGCAGGCAGGAAGCCATTAACTACAGAGGTTATCTATGTCCTATTAACTACAGGGGGATTAAACCACCCCTCTAAAATGAAAAGGAGTTAGGGGATGAGTATAATGATTGCCCTTGTCTCAGCCGTGACTTTTCCTATTTCTCTGATCCCTATACACATCTCCGAAATGCTTGGTGATGTACTCAAGTTGAAGTCTGAAATTAGTCCTGTCATTTCCCATAGCTTAGTGACTTTACTAAGCAGTCTCTCATTGCACAGATGAGGCATGAGGGTGCAGGGAGGGGGTCAACCCACTGTCTGCAATAGGTAATCATTAAAATGAGCTTTGTTGACACACGTCAGACGGGGCCCATGGATGCATTGCCCAATCTCTGTTTCTCCCCCAAACACATAAAGAACCTTGTGGGAAGGCTTTGCATGATTGTGCAGAAGGGTCACATGACCCCTTGGCGTCCCGGGGCTGAGGTTGATGACTTTGCACCCATCACTGTAAACATGCACATAACACTGCATGTGCTGGTGTGGCTAGAAAGCCTGCAGCTGGTTAACTAACACTCTTGCCAGCATCTTGAGCTTGCCCGAGATGTGTTGCTGAGTCTGCCATCATTCTTCAGGGCATCGCTTGTCCGAACACACTGTCTTCAGCAACTCAAGAGGTGAAAATGGGCCCAGGACCGGCTTTACTGCAGGTTATTACTGATGTTAAATTCTGCTGAATGTCGACACACACACATACACACACAAGCTTAGCCATTCTTGTACCCAAGCTGCAGCAATGGCTGCTCCCACCCCTGTTTTGGAAGTGCTGGCTTCCTGTCCACCTCTGCCTTCCTCTGAGAGATTCCATCTGTAGGTTTTGTATATTACTCTGTTAGCTCCTAATCTTCAAGGCTCTGGTAGATAGGGGGCCAACTGTGTCAATGGCTTGTTATCATTGTGTTCTTCAGTTGGCGGAAAAATTGAACCTACGGTCTTGTGTCTGTTAAGTGAATGCTCTAGCATCGAGTTGCACCTATTTTTATTCATGTTGAACAAAGTTTAACACCTTATATTTGCTTTTCTGCTGCTGTGGGAAAAAATTAGAGCAAAAGCGGCCTGGTGGAGAAAAGAGTTTCTTTTAGCATACACTCCCATAGATGCTCCATCATTGCGGGAAGTCAGGGCAGCAATCTGGAGGAGCACTGCTTCCTGGATGTAGATAGGCCCACCGCCTAGAGACGATGCCACCCACAGTGGGTCGGGCATTCCCACCTCAATTATCAATCAAGATAATCCTTCACACACATGGCTGCAGGACAATCTGATCCGGGTCGTCCCACCGCTGAGGTGTCCCAGTTACTCTAGGCTGTGTCAAGTTGATGAATAGTGCTCACGAGGGCACACCAGTACCTCTTTTGAGAAAGCCTTTTCCAAGTTTCTGAAGGATTCAGTCAGAAAAAGATAACTGACCTTAGACAATGTGTTGAACCCATTGCCTTTCCTGTGGTGTGGCGGCAGGCAAGTTGACATATCAGGGTTTTTCCCCCAGGCTGCTTCCCTGGGTTTCCTCACTTAGGGCAGTAGGAGAAGATGAAGACCAAGCTTGAGGTCCTCTAAAACTTCCGTTGTTACATTTGCTTATTTCCTAGTGACCAACGCAAGCCACGTGGCAAGCCAGAGTCTGAGATTCAAGAGCATGGACATATGACTTAGTATACTTGTGGCCATGAGCAAACAATCCCGCCAGTTTAAATAAAATCCAATGAATACCTGAAAAGAGATGCTTTTCACACTATGTCATATCTGTTTTTACTTTGGGGTCTGGCCATTGTAATATTTTTATTGGGCAGATGGTATTATAAGCCAATGTGGGTGCATTTGGGGGTTGAATGGCCTTTTTACAGAGAAAAGGGAAACACAGATATTTACTTTACTGTTCATAACAGCAGCAAACTAACAGTTATGAAGTAGCAATGAAAATCATTTTATGGTCTGGGGTCACCACAGCAAGAGGAACTGTACTAAGGGTCACAGCATGAGGAAGGTCGAGAACCACTGCCACAGACAATTGATCAAAAAAGTTAAAAAATAAGCAATTTATCACTTTGCCCTTTCTGATTACCTGTGTTAAAGGTCCTAATTTATTAGGTGTGAACACTGAAATTTAACAAAGGAAGAAAAGTAGGGGACATTTACTCTGCTTAATGTAGATGTCAGTATAAATGGCCTGTCCTTTCTGCTACCTTCTTAACTCAAGAAAGGCCTGGGATTACAACATGGCTAATGATGTGAAGAAATTTATTGGCAACTTCTGAGAAAGCATTTTCTTTCCTGAGAGCTGGAGAAGTCATCTTTCTCTCCTGCTCCACCTGAGTGAAAACACACAGAGCTGGGCCCATTGACTGACAGCCAGACCCAGGGCCTTGCTGGACGGCAGAACAGAGGCAAGAAGGGATCTGGGTCATCACATGGCTGAGGTGCTATATATATACCAAAGGGGGCTTGCCCTGTTTCTGAATTCCCAATGGTGAGCTGGAAAAGCTGCTTTGCCTTCCATCTCCATTTCTTTTCTTTCATTCATCTCTTCCTCCCTTGGGATTTAATTTAGGGCATCATACATTCTAGGCAAGTGCTCCATCCTTTTTTGACTCTTTCATTTTGAGACTATTAAGTAAGGGAAGAATGAGCTAGAGCACTGGTTTGATACAGAAGAACACCTAGATGTGTTGGAATTAAGCAACTGGGTTGTTTGATAACACCATGCACAACAGGAGAAGTTAGAGTAGGAGATAAAATCACAGAATGAAGAAAACTCTTTACTCTTAAAGAGTAAACAATCAGAAACCAGATCTTGGAGAGCATTCTTCATGTGAATTGCACAGCTGGGGTAGGGTGTTGTCAGGTAGGGGCAGGGGTGGAGTCTCTGGGCTCCTGAGAGTGCCTAGGTAAGGCCAGACTGGCACAGGTAGTATCCACCACATGGATTCCAGGTGAACCCTGCCCATTATAGCCTCCCTAGAACCAACCAGAAAACATAGCTTCATATTTTAGACTCTAAAATTTAGAGTAAATTCCCATCAGAAAACAAGATTTCTTGCTAAGATGTATAACATAGTAAAGTTTTTGCCATCCTAGCTGAAGCCACTTCAGGGAAGTTTCTACCCCCTTTCCTGAAAAGTCTAAGGAGAATGCACCCAACACTGTTCTAGAAACTCAGGGTTGGAATGCCCCAGCTAACTGCATGTTCTTGGCTTCTGTTTAAGTGCCTGCTTGCTTGCTTCCCCTTGCAATGGCCAAGAATGTAATTCTTCCGAGTTCTTTGTCTCCAAACAATCCCCGTAATATACATTTACGAATGCTCTGTGTGAAGTGTTTCTCTCTACACAGTGGCTTGTGCAGGCTCTCAATTTGGACTTTGGTCATGCTGAGTTATCTCTGGGTTTTTACCTCACAACAGTGGCTGACATTGCCTTTCTTTGCCTTTCAACTGCTTCTTCTCAGACCAAGAGTTGGACATTTCAGTTTCTAGTAAAACTAATCTAAATATGAAATTAGTGTGTGAGTTATTCTTTTAAGGGAACAAGATTTTAAAGCTGTCTGGCATTGGCTTTGCTTTCTAATGCCCCAAGGCCCTAATTAGATCATAAATTTCCTAAAGGCAATGTCAAGCTTAGAATTAGACTTCAGACAGAAAGGGGGCAACCTCTGCATTTTCCAGAAAGATAAAAAAAAAATTCATGGCAATCAAAGCCTCATGTTTGTCTTTTTTCAAATATATTGGTTTGCACATCCTGCACAGCGCCCAGCCCGCAATTCTTACCCCAGAAGGGTGATACTGCCTCGCAAAGGGCAAAACTTCTTGACAGGCAACTTCTTGGCAGGCAAAAAGATGAAACTGAATTGAACTGAGACGACCCTGTGGTTCCTTTTCTTCTTTCTGTGTTTTGTTTTGTTTGAGTGTGTTTGAGACAGGATCTCACCATGTAGCCCAGGCTACTATGTGGGCATTGCAGCAGCAAATCCTCCTGACTCCACCTCCACAAGGCTAGACTTTCAGGTGACTATCACCATCCTGGCTCACACATGGTACGGTTTGTCTTTGAAAGAGACTAAGGCACTGGGCAGTGATAGCACATGCCTTGAATCCCAATACTTGGAAGCAGAGGCAGACAGATCTCTGTGAGTTCGAGGCCAGCCTGGTCTATAGAGTGAGTTCCAGAACAGCTAGGGAAACCCTGTCTCAAAAAAACCGAAAACACACACACACACACACACACACACACACACACACACACACACACA